TGCCAGATCTACTGGGATAGGCTAGTCTGGGAGAGGCAGTTCCTCAGATAACCTGGTCCCATGCAATGAAGGGCATTACATATTAAAACCAGTACCCCAAGTGGATCCAGAAGCAAACTGGCAACCAATGCATCTTGCAGAGCAAAGGTGTGACATGTGATGTTCTAAAAAAACATATAACTGCCTGTGCTGCCTAATTCTGAATCAGTTGATAAATGCTTTTACTGGGATTATAGATGAACAAGAAATAAATATACCATTTACTTTTAATAATTAAATTTTCCAGTAATCGGAAACTATGAGGTAGCACAGCCACCCATTTTGTGCTTCCAGAAACAAAATGAGAAGCATAATTCTATCAAGGTTTTGACCACAGTCCCACTTTCCACAACTCTGGTCAGGTTTTTAAAAATATTTGAGATCTTAAATACCCTGTTTGAGACCTGTTGGTGACTCAAGAGGATCCTGAGCCATAATTTGAGGACCACTGCCAGATGTATTCTCACTTTCCTGAAAGAAAGATGTCCTAGAATTTATTTCAGAAAGCTTCCCTATCAGTAATAAAATAGGCAATAACATTTCTGAGTATAATCCCTTTGGTCTTCCTCAGCTGAAGTTATCACTTTTTTTTTCAATTTAACATAGTTTTTGTGAGGGTACTTGGGCATAATGATTCCCTAAGGATATCTATAAGTTTTAAGTGTCATGGAATTGTACTATCTATAATTCATAGATTCATACATGCCATGCATCTACTTCAAAGATGATAAAAACTAAATGTACATTTTCCTCAGTGTATTAAGTATTTGGCTAAAATGATAACTCAATGTACAATTGAACTCCATCTGTTAGAAGGACATTCCTCACTGAATGCTTTGCTTTTCCTATGTTATCCTAGCCTCAGCTTCCCCAGCTGTTCTTTGTTTGCTCTTTTGAAATCCCAGTGCTATAATTTTCTATTCCCTATGTATTGACCCTTATTAATATACATAAATATCAGAGGAAAAAGGGGCATCATCTTTTGAAATATTTAAATAAACTAGGCAAAAATGAACTTACCAGCGCTTTTAGCTGTGATCCTTGACCCATGCCTCAGCAGACGAATGCACACATCTTTACTACAGTGGTTAACCATTCGCAAATGGATACTCCTCCGAGTATGGATTTTTACTAGGCATTTCACCATATTGACTAAAAGATGTATTTTCTATTTCAGCTTTAATGAACTAGCCACCCATATCAGCTGTGACCTTTACCAAGTTTCCACTGTGTCCAGCTTGGAAGAGTCCAGCTGAATGAATCAAATAACAGCTTCTAATTCGGCCAATAGAAATAGCCTACTAGAGCACAGAGTGAGTACCTATTTTTAAACCTTCCAACTGGCTTATAATATACAAAGTAATTAACAGCAAATACCAACTGTTCTCTTAACAGTTGTTAATTAACAGCTGCACTATATATACTAGTCTAAGCACTTCAACTGTTTACTGCATTGTAATGCAGATTACCAAAGCAACAGACATAAAAGTTCGCCAGTATATATATATATATGTATATCTCCATATATATTTATATGGAGATTTATTTTGCTTTCTAAATTTGAACCTACACTTTTAATTATCTGCAGAGATAATCCTGTTTAATTCAGTCTAATGACTGTAAAAGTTGAAGGTATAAATATTGAAGTTGGCAGGATGGGTTCCAGTGGTTTCCAAACCTGAGAGGCATTTTGTCTTAGTTCCAATCCCACTGAGTTTTCATTCATAAAAGCGGGAAGAAGAAACCCAGAGTTTAAATCCTAGAGCACAGATATAGAAAGCCTCTGACTTCTTTGCATTGGGATAAACAATAATCTAATGTAGCCAAATTGTGGCTAGGAATCTTCTCCCAGATGTAAAAAAGACTTTAATTCAGAACCAAATGACTAAGATTTATTGACAAGCTTGGACATGAAGCCTGGCCCTGATGTTGCTGCTTGTATATCTGCTATTGTAGTAAAACCTTGCACACATCTAGGAGTTACAAAATAGAAACAGAAGTAGTGTTTTTGCTCATGGTAATTGAACTGCACTATTCTAAATACACAGTAGACAGTAATCCTTTGGACCAACAGTTGATCTTCTGGTATTGTCCCCAAGGTTGACTAACTGAAAAGAGTGATTTATGACTAGCTTTCTCACTTATGAGTGCTGTAGTGTCCCCATGGCAATGTGAACACAGTCCAAGCACTTGGCTACCAGATTCCTTTTACAACAGTTGGGGGTCACGTGATCAACATGTTTGACATTCTCAGCCAGCTTCTGACAGGCAAAGTCAATGGGAGAATCCATATTCACTTAACAACTGTGACAAAAATGATTGCAAAATCAGGCTTGACTCATTTAACTGCATCATTTAGGGACAGAGGTGGGCAGTCTGCTACAACATGACAATTCCAGTGTACCTACAAAATCAAAAGTGATCTGAGGAGAAAACTGCATTAGAACACACTGCCATATAAATCCAAAGGAGTGTGTTAAGTCCTCTCCACAGAAAAAAATATTTTATAAGAAACAAGAGATCGGAGCAATCGAAGGCAATTCCAAGAGACACATGATGGCAATATTCACAGGAATTATCTTGGTTCAAAGTTTTGAAACAAGGGGCCCTACATAAATCTCATGATGAGGAGAAAAGGTATTGGCAATTAATACACAATTTAATACTCAGACTGCAGAAATAAATACAACTGCAGAAGACAACATCAAATACACAGACTATTCCCAATTCCCACAGAGTATTACCAATACCGTTTCATTTCACAAAGCCAATAATCCATCCAAAGCCAAGAAAGAAGGAAGCCTTAATAAAATGTTTGATGATTTGGATAAGCACGGTGTATATTCCTCTAGTCTGATGCAATGATTTTATGTTTCATATTTCCACAGGTTACAAAAACATGGCAGTAATATACAAGTAATCCTCGACTTACAACAGTTTATTTAGTGACCATTCAAAGTCAATGGCACTGAAAAAAGTGACTTAGGACCATTTTTCACACTTATGACCGTTGCAGCATCCCCATGGTCACATGATCAAAATTCAGATGCTTAGCAACTAGTTGGCATTTATGATGGTTACAGTGTCCTGGGGACACATGATCCACTTTTGCGACCTTCTGACAAGCAAAGCCAATGGGGAATCCAGATTCACTTAACAATTGTGTTACTAACTTAGCATATGCAATGATTCACTTAACAACGGTGGCAAGAAAAGTTGAAAAATGGGGCAAACTCACTTAACAAATGTTTCACTTAACAACATAAATTTTGGGCTCAATTGTGATCGTAACTCGAAGACTACCTGTTATGTCTTCACCAGGGCTGAAATGTGTGGCCTTCTGAAGGTTGTCAGATGTAAGCTAGATCTGGAAACAGACTCCACAAGAAATATTGTAAATCTGTTCTACTGATATAGATTATGGTAACATAATCTTGAAAGTGCTTTCACTTTCCTCCACATTATACAAAGAGTATCAGGGTGGAGGCACTGTAATGTCTTCTTTCTTTCCTGAACTTATTTTTTGCTAAATCCTGCATTCCTTTTCCGAGGTCATTTTTGCGGTTCTCTACACAGGGCAGTATTTTTGCGGGGGGAGGGGGAAGGAAGAGGATGGCTGATTTAAGGCAAAATAGGCATATGAAGAATGGGGTCATGTGAAAGAGCGAACTCACCACCTTGAATGAGCAAGCATTACTCTCCCTCCTGAGATCCTAAGCTATGGCGATGCCTGGGAAAGAAGGTTAAGACAGCCCCACTTTCTTTTTAATTGAAGGGCATAGCCCATAAAATGGACCAGAAATCAAGTACGTGTGTGGATTGGTGAAAAAGAAGCCAAGCCAAAAGACAGGAGAGAAGTGAGCAAAGAGCGTCCCACACAAAAGCAAGGAGCAACGGGGGGGGGGGGGGGGGGAGGAGAGCGTGACCAGGGTCTGCAAAAGAAGCCACCCAAACAAACGACAACCCAGCCACAGACCACAAACCAGCCTAGGAAGGTGCCCTGTGAATGGGGGTGGAGGGAGAAAAAAAGCCCCATTTATTAGACTACAAAGGAATGAAAAAGGTTTTCATATGCAAATAGCTTAGCTGGCAACAAGAGATGAAGACCTGGGGAACAAGAAAATGCTCAAAAAGCTAGGAAAAAGTTGAGAGGAAAACAGCGCTACAAACATATACACATGGAGACAGAAATTCCAAGATTAAGGAAGATAGAAATGGTTGTAAACTTGTACTAATGGGGAAACTAATGGGAAAAAGATAGGTAGGGAGAATTTTAGTATGAAATTAGAAGCAAGCATAGAATTAGCATTAAGATTAGGAATAAAAGAAAGAACTAATTTTATATAATAAAACAACTTTAATGGGTAAAAAATCTAAATGTAGCATTAGTGATCTGTACCAGATTAAGAAATGATTAAAAGTGAGGTGTGATACAGTAACCAGACATAAATAAAAGACCTGCATGAAAAAGAAAACACTTTCTTAATCATCTTCATATGAGAAGGTTTATATTCACACAATCTTCATTTTTTGTCAACCATATTCCTTTTTCCACTAATATACTAAAATAGTACATGCACTTACATGCATTTAGCTGTTACCACAGAGAGTTTGTGGTAACTCATTGTCATGTTGGGGACAATGCTCTTTCTACTTATATTGTCAGAATGCTAACAATATAAGGATACTTTTAAAGTGGGAGAGTAATAAAGGAAAAGCTGGTCTTGGATTGACAAAAGGAAAATGCAGGGAACAGGTAGAATTATTTGAATATGTAGGTGTATAATTAATTCAGTATTGTCAATTACAGTTGACCAACTGGAAGCTATACATCTTGCAACAGAACTTAGCTGTATTGTTCTTTGAGAAGTTAGTAGAAGTTGGTAGCCACTGAGTTCCTGAATAGGAAATATTGACAGCCACACCATACCACATGTACAGACACACATATCAACACTCACCAAGAGATCTAGGGGCACGAATACGGGAGGGAGTATCACGCGGAATGGAGAAAGAGCCAGATTTCCAAGTTGTAAGGCTTCCAGGAAGGAGTACAGGGATAGGATCATGCTGCACCAGATGGGGACTGATAGCAGGATCTTCCCCTGACAGGGTATAAAAATAGCAGCAGCCATTACAGAAAAGATGCTACATTAAGAGCTTCTCAGTCACACTGCCAAAGAAAACCAATGAAGAATTAAGAACATGTAGCTAAGGAGACCTTCCCAGGTGCAATGTTGAGTGACAGAACTCAGTTACGTGAACTTCTACCATGTTTCTCACAAAATAAGGTCGGGCCTTATTTTTTTTTTACCCCCCCAAAATGGTTAGGCCCTCTTTTGGGGGGGTGACTTAATTCCCCCCCCTTGCATCCTTGGGCAGGCAGGCGGCGACAGCTTGGATGTTGATCTCAGCGTTGGTGGGGCACTTCTTATCGGGAAACCTTCCACCACTGTTGCTTTCCCTTCTCCCCATGCTGCCACGATGTTTAGAGCAACGCTGCAGCATTTGGCGCAGCCATGCACGACCAGCCAGGGCTCCTCCCTGCAACTGGAGCCCGGTGGAGAAACTCGGCTTCAGGCGCTCCTGTTGCCGCCTTCCCTTCGCCTTCGAAGGCAAAGCCAATTCTTTTAAAAATGACGCCCTACTATCGGTATGACAAAGACTCCCCTGCCTGAGAGGGCAGCCCAAGCCCATATGGGGAGGCGAATCTCCCGGGGCCACAGCGCAGGATTGGCCCACCCTGGGAGAAGCGCCCAGGCCCCATCCCTGCTTGGCGCCGGGTAGAGCATGAAGAGCTTCGCCTGGGATGCCCAGCGCAGCTAATAGGTGGGCCCTCCTGCCCAGCGGTGGAGCTTTCACCAAAGCAGCGAGTGCCTCCCCATCGGACTCTGGCAAACCCTGGCGGGATGAGTGGAGGGTCTGGTGGGGAGGCGAAGGGAAGGCGGCAACAGGAGCGCCTGAAACAGAGTGTCTCCACCGGGCTCCGATTGCAGGGAGGAGCCCTGGCTGGCTGCACGTGGCTGCGCCAAACGCCATGGTGTTGCTTTAAATGCCGCGGCAGCATGGGGAGAAGGGAAAGCAACAATGGCAGAAGGTCTCCCCCGATGAAGTGCCCCACCAACGCCGAGGTCAACGCAGGCAGCACCTCCGGGTATGCAACCAAAGTACTTCCTAACGGCCAGCAACCCTGCCATTTCCCCCCATTTCGCATGTTTAATATAGGCCTTAATTTGGGGGGGAGGGGCTTAATTTGGAGGAGGCCATATTGTTGGAGAAACACGGTATCTAAAAGTGTCCTTGACTACTTGAGATGGAGGTGTATTTGTATATTTTCTACTTAGAAATGGTAGAATATGTTGGGACATCGTCCCATCCCGTGGCATTATTTCCTAAAATGTTTTAAGGAAAAAACAATAATAATGAACAATAATAATCTATCCTAAGATGACTTACATGATACAGAGTTTAGTTCAATAGCTACCAGGCAATGAGAAGTTGTGAAAATTTGCCGTCTCAGAATGAACCCCCTTCTATTAAATGGAAAATCTAATTTATGATCAAGATGAATCAGTTTCCACTCTTTTTATTAAACATCTAGTATTCTATAATTAAATAATATTTTGCAATAATTTAAAACTGCCCCAAATGCATTTTCACAGGCAACATATCAACAATTGTCCAGCAATTTTCTTAGTTACGTGAATGAAAATAACTTTTCAAACATATAAACGCAATCGTTTTGAACAATTAATTGCTATTGAACTTTATTGATGTGCTTTATAAAAAATAAAAACAGGAGGAGCCTCTTAGCTTAGACTTGCCTTCATCAGAAATAACCTCTTCCTGGTCATCTGGTGATGGATGGAGAGGTTGCAAAGGTTCCATATTTATTATGAATTGTTTGCTTAAAGAATAAGAGCTACGGCTTTGAGTAATGTTGGTTCTGTGAAGAAAGGGGATAAATTACCCTACTGACTATATAATAAATTAGGCTGTAGATATATATGTACATATATGGAGATACTTATGTGGCATATAAAAAAAGAATCTTCTTGCTATCTTCTTCAGAATATTTGTTTGGACAAAACATATTGCAGAACAGTTTGAGGTTATTTACTTTTGTTTCTTGTAGCCAATGCCTAGTGATACCTGAATCAGTGAAATAAAATTATGCAATTATTACAGATAATCCTCGACTTACAACCATTCATTTAGTGACTGATGTTCTAACAGCACTGAAAAAGGTTACCTGTGACCATTTTTCACACTTAGAATTGTTGCATCCCTATGGTCACATAGTCAAAATTTGGATACTTGGCAATTGGTTCATATTAATGACGGTTGCATTGAACCAGGAAAAGAGTATTGGTGGTGCAGTGTTAAAATACAGTATTCAGGCTAATTCTGTTCACAGTCTGGAGTTTGATCCTGATGGGCTCAAGGTTGACTCTATCTTTCCAAGGTTGGTGAAATGAGGATCCAGATTGTTGGGGGTAATATGCTGACATTTTAAACCTTTCAGAGAGTGCTATAAAGCACTAAATGCTATTGCTATGTGATCATAAGCAGATTGACAAGCAAAGTCAATAGAGAAGCCAGATTCACTTAACAACCATGTTACTAATTTAACAACTGCAGAGATTCACTGAAAAACTGTGGCAAGAAATGTTGTAAAATGGGGCAAAACTCACTTAACAACTGTCTAGTTTAGCAACAGAAAATTTGGGCTCAGTTGTGGTCATAAGTCAAGGACTACCTGTATACCAAAATGATTTGAAAACATTTGGATTTTCCTGATCTGATGAATTGGATTTGAGTTAAAAGGTTGCCCCTTATTGAAGGGAATAAGTCAGGAAACACTAAAAAATATCCTCTAATGATCATAAATCCTTCAGCTCCTATTACATATTAAAAGCCAATAGCAATGTACTATTGCTGGAAAAGCAGTAATTAAATGTATGTTGCGTAACTTTTCAATTTTGTATATAGGTCAATGTTAGAAGATTCTTTAAATGGTTTAGATCAGAAAGTACCTGTGCACTTCTGGAGGCTCCCTCTGGATCTTTGAACTTGCTTCAACAACTTCTTTTGCAACTTTTCCACTGTCACAAAATATACATGTTAAGAACTAATTTTTGTGTGATTAAAAAAATTATTTATTGTGCACTAATGAAATACTTAAAGCAATTCATATATTAGGAAGGATACCAAGTAATAGAAAAGCTTTGCCTTTAGATGTCTATGAGATTCTCAGTCATCCAGGTCATGGTTGTCCCAAAGGTACTTTTTCAAGAGGCAACTGCACTTTCTTGCTTTTCTTTGAAGATGTTTCACTTCTCATCCAAGAAATATCTTCAAAGAAAAAGAATAAAGTCCAGTTGACTCTTGAAAAAGCACTTTTGGGACTTTGTCTTTAGAAACAGAGTTGAATATTCAAAAAATATTATTGTGGAATGTTTGCAATTTTATCCTTAGAGAGTTGGCATTCTAATTATGGCAACAGTCTTCTAATAAATTCACTTATTTAAGCTAACCTTTTGGTGATATCACCAGAGAGCTAATGCTGAAATTTTTCTATATGTGCGTGTCAGTTTGTTCAGAGAGTTTTAAAAGGCAGAAAAAATTGTTAAGCCCGAGAGAGACATAACATCCATTTTATCCCATCTTTTTTTTAAAAAAATTTAAAAATCATAGTAAAATAAATTGGTGATTTTCTATCTGATTTTTAACATTGTGATTTTGAGAATCTTAGTTCATATACAAATAGAACTGGGGCTTACGTTGGACCATGGCTCATTCAGTCCCAATTTATAAGAACAATTCCGCTCAAATTGATACCAATAAGCTGTCTAATGTACTGCCTACCAAAAACCATCCGTTCTTATCTATTCATAGATATTTCACATGTGTAATTCTAGGTACATTTAATCAGGCATAAATTCCCATTATAATCATTGCTGCTTATTTTTAAATCCCTGTGAATAGGATGGTCGTATACTCTCTACATTTATTTATTTTTGTATTTCCAGAGCAGTTTATGAAAATGTTAACACAATCAAAAGGAAGGACTTGAAAAAAACAGTCTGGACCTTTTCACAGACTAAAATGATGTAATCTTATATTTGTACACACAGGCCTACAGCTTTCATTGAGATTTACACACAGATAACTGTATGTAAGCTTGCAATCTTAAGGAACTTGAGTTTTTATTGAATCTGTCTGTCTGTCTGTCTATCATCTAATCTAATCTCTATAATTCCTTCCTGTTGGAATCAAAGTATTATTTACCTGTATCTAAATCTGCTGCCTTTAAAAAATATTTTGCTGCTGGACATGGTTTTGATTTGGCTTGATTTTGCATACCTTCAGAGGAAGAAACACAAAGTAAAAGTAGTTAAATTTTTAAGGAGAAAAAAATGTTTACTAATAGACAGACATACCTATGTACTCTATCTCTCTGACTATATTGTTTATAATTTTCAATATAATATAATTAATCTTATATTTTGGATTATTCAAAAGTATTCCTCATATTACCCACTTCAAAAACTACTCAGTTCTTTAACATTCATTTCATATTTGTTAGAACTTTCAACAAATAATCTGCAGATAAATCAAAGGCCATTTTCTCTTTATAACATGCTGATTTAACATGAAAAGGATCTCTTAATATTCTTCACTCATCTATACATTTGTATTATATTACTAAAATGAATTTATACTGTTCTGCTTACTTGTAAAAAGCCTGATTCTCCACACCACATTTCCAGAGATGCTTGCAAGCTGCTGGTGTAGAAGTATGGAATGACAACATAGCCTTTTTCTAAGCATTTTAAGGAAAATATAAACAAAAGAAAATAAAAATTGATTAATTTAACAATTTTAGTCTAAAGGCAAGATTTTCATTTAATGCTATACCTTCTTCACATTAAACAGTGAACTTATCTGCAGACTTGATTGTCTCATCAGGGGCTGGCAACCATTTTTGGTTGAGTCCCCAATAGCTGACAAAGCAACTTCAAGTTTGTTTTATTTTTGAAGTACATTTTCTCATGTTACCTTGAGGCTCCTATCTTTTCAAATAGAAGAGAAAGGAACACTCCTTCAATTGAATCAATGCTTATCATGCTCTCACATACCTTATAAAGCTAACTTTTGCCATGAGTTCAATAATGACTAGGAAAAAAAATTTCTTATCTTGAACTCCTTACTTTTCCCTCTTCTTTAAAAAGAAGAACTTCAATGATACGTTTTATGGTGTTTTTTTCAAATAACATGAAGTAGGAACACAAGGTTCAGCTTAAATGTTAAAAGTGGATTTGCCTTTAGAAAGGACAGAACTGATCAGACTTTTCTGAAGTCCAATATTTAAAGCAGAATTCCTGCTCTCCCAATGAAGAGCATATTCACTCAACATCCAACTTCTGATTTTTGAATGATTTCTTTTGGAAGCAGGTGGTCCTTCCATTACTTATTGAATGGGCCATAAATAATCAATTAACTATTGAAAAGACATGAATGAACTACTGAGCTATCTTTCACTGAGTTCCCCCAATTCCACAGGATCATTTGCCATGAAGAAAATTGCAAGTTACGTGTTTGCTCTTGAAGAGAATCACATTAGTCTAATAACCTAGCCATACATTGTATAAAGTTTATTTTAGATGTTAAAACTATTAATCATCCTAGATAGCAATAGAAGCAGCATGTATACTCATTATATATTAATTATATAATTGAGGAATGCAAGTTTACAAACAAATACAAACAAATTTGCACAATTAATATTTATAGCATGACTTCAGTTCTGTAAATTTGTTTCCAATTTTTTTCAATTTACAGTGTAAACCAAATAAAATATATTAACATGATAAATTATAATGTTAACTAACTATATATATTCATATATACAAACCTTTCTTATTATACAGACATCCATCTATCTGTCTATAATATCTATATCACATGCATTTTTTCCAAGCCTCTTCTGTCAAAAAAAAATGACTATATTATTTTGAGGAAAGTTTTCGTTCATTTACTACCATAACTAGTCTATTCCAATAGTTAAGACAAAGAATTATTTTGTAAGAGCAAGATTTTTATAAGAAGTACTTAATTTTATGAGTAATACTTAATTTTAAAACTAAAAGCTTTCAGCATGTAAGAAACAAAATTTCTAACCTCTTTCTGAACTGCAATCACATAAAATGTCTTCCCTTCAAACTTTAGTTTATAGACGTCAGACCTATTAAAAGAAAGCTTTTTAAATTAGAAAAACAAACTGTAGCCGATACTTCTATGTAAATATATCAAAAAAAAAAACACTGAGAGGAAGCTGCTAAAAATCATTTATTCATTTCTTAATGATATGACTTCAGTTTGGATCTACAGTATGTACCTACAATTCATTTTGTGCCAAACATATCCAATTGTTCCTAGAGGTGACATTTGTATCTGGAGAAAAATTTCTATATAAAAAAAACCTCCACCTATTTCAAATTTCTTATACCCAACTAATTTCCAAAGCATTTGAATGACAAACCATTGGATACAGAAGAGGTTTAATATTTCAATATTTAGTATTGCCAATATTTAAGACCCAGCAATAAGATAACTTCGCGGGAGGGTTTTTTGGCTTTATTCATACAACACAAATGACCACTCATCTTAATCAATTTTTGTTTTCTGTCACAAGATGGCTGAATCTGACATGCTATAGGCAAATTTAAATAATTGACCAGGATGATTTAATCTCAGACAAACCTGGAGCTGTTTAGGAATAAATCGAAGGATTAATCAAATAAGACATTAGGAGGGGTGCATAAGCGCACCAACGTGCCTACCGTCCCTGTCCTATTGTTTCTTTTTATTTTTCTTATATGTATCCATTTCATGTATTCATAACTATGTTTATACTTATACCTATTATCTTGTAAGCGATTGACAAATCAAATAAATAAATAAAAATAAAACATGCTCTTAAGATACCCCATTCCCTTGTCAAATGTATGTTCAAACAGGACTATAGTGTCTCAAATAAAATTTTCTCTGTATTCTACAACCTTGTTTTTCCTACAAAAAAAACCATACAGATTCTTACCATTTTAGCAAATGTATCCTTTTATTTCCCTGGAATACCACAAAACCTGTAGCTGTGAATCCTAAAAATGTTGTAGTCCCAGTTGAATCCTTAAGGATTTTAAGGAAAAAAGGAGTATTAATTAGATCTATTCCAGAAATATATACTTTTAGAATACACCTTCTTCCATGAAGGCATTTCTACTTACAAAGCGAAATATAATGGAAGATTTTTAAATGATCAAAGAGATATTTGCAGTGGATTCATTGGCATGAAAGCAATTAGATATATCTTTCCACTTGCAAATTTTTAACCATCTTCCAAAGAAACATCACTAGAAAATTTATATTGAGCCTTTAAACTGCAGTCTCAAACACCATCAAATAATTTGATACCGATAAAAAAGCACTTGTGCTATATTATTGGAATGAGGTCAGCATTGAAATCAGATATGCCAGTTTTTGATACAGAACTTTATGTCTCACTATGGCTTTTGAACAGAACCAAATACGTATTTTACAGCAAAACTCCTTTTTGAGTTCGCCTTTAAAAGCAATTTAAATGCTTGAAAAAATGTAAACTTATAAATGAAAACTGTATCAATTTTCCTACATATTTTATTCTATTGTTTTATTAAATGTATATATCCAGCTTCTTGTAGTTATAAAAATTGCACAATCCACCCCACTAGAAGTGTCTGTCTGCCTGTCTATCCTGAATAAACTACACAAACCGTATAAGCTGAAGCATAGGAGAGACGTTTACCCAATGCTGAAAACAAAAAATACATTTTAAAAAAAATCTTGTATTATTATTTTTTTACCTTGCAAGGATGAGGATCAACACCATAGGTTTCTAAAGAATGTGCTCTTAATAATAAATTAAATTCAGCAACAGCTGGACTCTGACCCCTAGAAACCATGAAAAGAGAAATAGTTTGTGATAAACTATAAACAATATTGGCTAAATAGGAAATAAGAAACTTTACATGAGATTCTGCTGCTACTCTGCCACAGAAACCAATTCCTTTGGATTAAGCCTATCTCCTGTTGACATATTTCAGGACTCCAGTGAGCTGTGCAGTTAATCAGGGGCTATCCAGTATCATTCAAATATTTTCTATCTTTTAATATACATAAGCAGTTGGAACATAATAAGGGACAAGTGTCAATCTTCATTTCCATCCATTTACTTCCTAAATTCCCTGAAAAGAATTGCTCAGATTAAGTTATTTTTTTCCTGTTTTTGAAGTAAATAGGAGACTATGAAAAGACATTTACTTTTTATTTGACTAAACTATGTTAGTATTTTAATGGTCTACTTCACCTTCATATCTGTCTGCCTACCTACCTATGCATGTGTGTGTACTCACACACATACCCTATAAACAACCTGGACAAGTAAACTAATTTGGTGACACACCTGGATGCTAACGTCAAGAATGTAATCTCTCAATTCCAATAGTACCTTTTCAGTGTAGGAACTGTCCTTCTCATTTTCTGGTGTTAGCTCTGAATATAGCACAGAACAAAAGAGACTCAATTGAACAGCCCTTGAAGAGGGAATAGCAGGCAAAATATGAGGCCAATCCATTCATCAGAACATTCCACAGTGTATGTCAACTTTATAATCCAGCTTGGCTTGAATATTGATGAAAGATTCATAAAACTGAGGCACGGAATGGGTAGTACAGAAAGAGGACATTGCCCTCTTTCGTTCTCTCCTTTACCCACATATCCAAAATTTCAGGTGTTAAATTTGTGCAACCAGAAGCAAATATCACTTTGCTATCAACTTCTATCAATGTATAAAAAATAAATTGTGAAAAACCTGGCACACAACTTTCTACTAAAGCTTCCACCTCCTTTCCAAAGGATCAACCAAGTGTAGTCTAAATAAGAAAAAAGAGCATTTTGCAAGCAGATACATTAATCATCCAAGATCTGGCTTGTTGGCAAATGAGGCAGTCCCAGTCCTCAGGATTCAAAAGCTGGGGCAACCAGAAATTAAGTTCTGTTGCTATCAGCATTTAATTATTTCTGTTATCCTGCAAACACAGACAATTTTTGGACAACAAGTGCAAGTTTATATACATTCTGGCAACATTACGCACTCAGAAATATCACACAAATTGTGAAAAGAGTACTGATATCATAATTAATATCTTTTGCTCAGGACCAATCTCTCCTATTGCCAGTCACCAGTGGTCCCTATATGTTTATTTCATCTGCACATTTTTCAATAATCTTGGAATAGACACAGATTAATAAAGCACAGTGTGGCATTGCCTTTGATTTCCTGAATGCAAAACATACTGTACACTATGTTGTTGAAAGGCATTCTGATGGATCCAATTAAGAGAGGATTTATTCAGTTTTGGGAGCCTCAGTTACATGCAACATTTACTAGTCTTTGGTAATTTCACTTATTCCGTTAACTATAGCAGGGGTCGCCAACCTTTCGAACCTCAGGAACTACCAAACTCATAATTTTAGATCCCAAGGACCACTAACTGGTTCTGTGGGTATGGCTTAATTTGTGGGCGTGGCTTGGTGGGCATGGCTTGTATGTAAATATTATAAATATTTATACAAATATTGAATTTTTTATAAAAAAGAGCAACTTTTACCTAAAATCAGGCAAAGCAGGCAGGCAGATTGAGTTGCTTACAGAATCACAGATTCATTCAGAAATCTATCTATCTGCCATCGGCTAGCTCAGTCATAAGATTTGCTAGCAAGCAAACTCAAAAAATTAGTTCACAACACACTATGCATGTAAATATTGAATTTTTTATTTAAAAAAAGAACAACTTTTACCCAAAATCAGGCAAAGCAGGCAGATTGAGTTGCTCACAGAATCATTCAGTGATCTATCTATCTGCCATCGGCTAGCTCAGTCTCTCTAATTTGCTTGCCGTGAGTCTGCACTAAATTTGCTTGCAAGCAAACCTTCAGTCCTAAGGGAGGTTCAGCTGTGCTTAGCTAGAAAGCAAGAAATCCAACCGTTTCCTGCTTCCTAGCTAATCTAAATCTCACAGCACAGCAGAACAGATGATGGTCGGAAAAAGGAAAAATAGCAACTTAGCAGACAAATTTGCCGGGTAAGGAGTGAGTAGGCGGGGAGGGTTCCCGCGAGCCATGTGGGTGTGGCAGCCTTGTGTTTCTGCGCAGCCTGGATTAATTGCTTTGAGGGGGTGCTCTGGGGATGAGATTTCTCTGAGGCCCACCAAAATTTTCTCACGGTTGGTGACCGCTGAACTATTGCATTGTCTTCTGATGGCCAAGGATCTTACTTCAAACAGGCACTTATTTTTAGTCCATCTTCCCTCATACACATCCAACTATCTCTTTGCAGTATAGGGTAATATTTCCCATCTTGCTTCCAAGGTGAATCTGCCTCAGAGTGGGAAGGCAGTTTCCTCTCAAATAATACTTTCCTCCCCCAGCTATATCTTCCAAGAAGCTTTTATTAACCCACTGATTTAAGGAAATCAGCTACATGTGTTTGAATTGATTCTGTCCTGAGAGCCTAAATCCTGTTGAATTCTTCCACAGAAGTCATGAAATTTGTGCCAATAGAGCATTTTCTGTACCCTCTCTGTAACTTAGATACACAGTGGACTTCTGATTGAAAAAAATGGAACTGGCTTCTTCGAACAGTTTTTAAAGTCCAGAGATGGTAACATCTATACAGATTATGGCTGCTGTTTATTTTTATGAATAAGTTTGACAGAGCAAGATATTTTTCTTCTGTTTACAGAGGGTAAGAAACCAATTTACTTACTGTAGTGTAAAGTACAGTAAAGTAAATATTGTAACAACTTATGCTAGCAACTTTTTGTATCCACCAACATGCTTTAATCCCAAGCATATTTAGGTATCACTGCATCTGGACTGCAAAAAAATTTCCATGATTGATAGATGGCAACAAAGAGAGTTTTCTGTGTTTTTGCTCTCTAGTGGATGTCCCCATGTTTATAGTTCAGTCTGACAGCTTTAGTTCAGCCACAGACTAACCAGACTGAAGAATTAAGCAAGATATTAGAAAATATCATTAAAATATAGATGAAATAAAATCAATGTATGTGCACTATGATGTTTGGCATCTTATATTAACTATGATTGTAACAAATGAAATACTAATCCTAGATAAATAATAAAAACAAATGTAGAAGAAAAAGGATCAAAGTAGAAGAATTGGAAGCAAAAATTGAACCAAAAGTGGAAAATTTAGATTGTTTATCTGAAAGACATTATTTATATTACATATCTCTTTGTGACAGAATAAACTTTTTACCTAAATCTTTTTTTCAATAGCAGCAAATGGTGTTTCAACAATAAAAATCATTGCATCTTGAAGCAGTTATATATAAAAAGGTCTAATTATAAAATTGTAAATTAGCAATATTTTATCAGACTGAAGGACAATTTTCTAATCATTTTTGCTAGTGACAAATTGGAAACTTCCTCTTATAGAAATAAAAGCACTACAGAAAACGTTCCTATTTTTTAGAGATAGAATTAATCATCTAATGAATAGCATAAAATAAAAATCTGACCAACGTAAAAGCAAAGATACTTTTCAGATTTTCCACTGTCATCTTAAAATACAAATACCTTCATACACTTTCAAACATGGAAATATAATTTATTAATAATCAAACAATCCATTCTGATTCTGAAAACTGAATTTAAATCCTTATTAGTGCATGCTTTTAATATTCAGTTTTATAAACAGGTAGTCTTCGCTGAATGATCAATCATTCAACAACTGTTTGAAGCTGAACAAGGGGGTCTTATGACAGGTCCTCATAGTTGTAGCTGTCTCGCACCCCTATAGTCATGTGACTGCAATTCAGGTGCTTGGCAAACAGCTCATTATTACAACATTGCAACAGTCACCTAATTGTCACGGGGACCTTCATTGTCAGCTTCCGGCAAAGTCAATGGAATATGGAGTTATCAATGGTGATCACCTGACCTTGGGACACTGCAACCAGGTGGGATTTGCCTCATGACAGCAACTGAGACTGCCCCACTGTTTGATACATAGCACTTTTTACTACAGAGGAGAAATGTTTCTCTATTGTAGATCAAATTCAAAAAGAAAAAAATCTATATGCAAAAGCATTAGCAGTATCAGAATAGTCATCCCCAGCACATAGATAGGGATACAGAATTAGCAGTGCCTGAATTACAGTTGCCAGCAATCCCATTTATCATCACCAAGGTGAAGTGAGGGAACCTGAAGTTATAATTCAACATCTGGAAAGCCACAGAATCCCAACTCTATTGAAACAAATGAGTTACCTTTGTATTGTATCATGTCTATAATGTAGCAGTCATTCAGTAATTTTAGAGATCTACTTTTTAAAATATCATGCTACACTTTCTCCTATTAACCTCTTGACTGTGTTAATTATATTGCACCTATACTGTAAGTCGAAAGTCCAAGGGAAAATAACAGATTTACTAAAAATAACTAAATAATGTCTGTAAAAGGCAATCTAATTACCTGAATTCATTTTTATGTATTTCACCAATTTTTCTTTCCAGCTTTTGAGATTGTTTAGGGAAGATCTTAAATTCACTGACATAATTATCCACATGTTCGTCAGAATCATAATCACCTAATTCAGCTGTTTTGGAAAAAGTAAAACAGATAGGAAAAACCAAATACATTCTTACTAAACAAGGTTTAACACTGGAAATGCACTATTTACAGTTCACATATAAATGGGTTTCACTGCATAATCCCAAAGCTCTGATACTTTATCTTTATATTAATCTTTCGAATATGGATTTCTGAAATATCATTTTTCCCCCAATTGAAAGATATTTATATAGGAAAGTCAATTTTGTAATCTTTCTCCAGGTTCCCCTATTTTAGCTATGCTAGTGGCCTTTAAGGAAAAGGATCCATGATTGTAGGCCCTTATCTTTAAAATACTTTCCTCGGGTTTTCAACTATATTCAGTACCAGGCAAACACCCTTTTCAATCTATTCTGTTGCAATAAGTTTATAATTCTGTGGGATTTTTCTGTTAACTGGTTTGGCATTGTTATTTGCCCCTATTGTCTCAAGCTGTGTTAACTGCTGCAGGACATTTACATTTTAAAAATAAAGCAAACATATTAATTAGTCAAATTTTATAGTAAAGCATAGCAAGGAAAACAAGGAACCATATTCATTCAGATGTTAACAAGAAGATTATTTTATTTAAGACCCTTTATTCAATTTATGTATTATTAAATCTCATTAGGTGGTTTCCTAATTTAAAACACACAATGATAAAACTGTAGTTCTTTAACTTGCTTAAAGAAACTGAAAAATTGGAGCAAAGTTGCATTTCTCAACAAGAAAAAATCCAATCACATCCAATACTAACTAAATAAAATATCTGATCAATAAACATACAGAAAAAATAATCATCACAAAACTTACCTCTTATCATGGCTCTGCAATACATTGAGATGAGGTGTTCCACAACATGCAAGGGCTTAGATGAAAAATGAAAGTAGTAGCTTCCTCAAAGGATTTTCTTAATTGTTTCCCTGTGCATAACCACTTTGCTTCTCTTTCTTCTCAAAGTGTACATACCCACCAAATATCTAGTTTTTGAAACTACCACACAGATCTTGCAAAAGACATGGCAACTCTGGGAGTTGAAGTCGACAAGTCTTAAAGTTGCCAAGTTTGGAGACTTCTGGCCTACTGTCTAACTTACATACCTACTTATAAGTAGATAGGATCCAAAGTGTAATTCATTTATCTTGGATACAACTCTATTAATTTTAAAATTGTGCTGTTACAATGCCCTGAAGTAAAAGTACCAGAGTACAGTCTTTTCACTTACCTTGAATAATGCATCCTCCCAGGTAAGCAGCATCAGAAAACCCACACAGCAAACGGCCATGGAAAATATCTCTTTTGATTTGGAGGTATAAAAGGTACCTGCATTTTGTAAGGAAAAAGATTTCTATTTTTATTTTCTCCCCTCCTCTCTCAATAATTGTAGTTTACTCATTATCATATATTGGATGAAAACGCCACAATGAGAACAGCAACACATCTAGAAGGCACTTTATTAGGAAAGTCTAAACTATAACTGTAAAGTAATGGAGAAAAGAAAATGAGAAAGAAAGAAAGAAAGAAAGAAAGAAAGAAAGAAAGAAAGAAAGAAAGAAAGAAAGAAAGAAAGAAAGAAAGAAAGAAAGAGGAGGGAGGGAGGGGGAGGGGAGGGGAGAGGAGGGAAGGGAAGGGAAGGGAAGGGAAGGGAAGGGAAGGGAGGAAAGAAGGAAGAAAGGAAGGATCACTTCTCTACTTACCATACTATATTTCCAATAAAGAAAGAAAATAGTATTAGAAGCATTACATCAAGTTACTATGCCTGGCTTATAACATATCTATTCCAATTTTAAAAAGACAACAACCATATACGGTATGGTATTGTCATTATGAGAAAACACTAAGAAATGTATACCTTCTACCTCTGTCTACCCATTCAAATTATGTTTTCTATTTTAAATAGATTAGACCTGTATTGTGTAATTCAAAATACTAAGAAATTTGCATGAAGAAATAGTCATATGGTTGCTCAAAATGTCCTTAAAGCAGAAGCAGTTATAGAAGGCTGATATTTTGAATAGAGGAATAGTGAGAAAAAGACTGCTCATCCTTTCTTCCCTTAGGCTACTATTTGGAATCAGAAGAGAAAGGATGTTTTGCCTCTGGCAGTCAGAAAAAGTAGTTGCAGACAAGATCATTTATGTAATAGTGACAAGGAAAAAGATTAATCATAGCTTGCTTAACAACCACAACTGGAAATATAATCTCAGTCATTGAACGAAGCAGGAATTAAGCTAGACACCAGGTCACTGCTTCATTCAATAACCCATGATCCCAGCATTCCCAGTTACAGTCATTAAGCAATCTTATAGATAGTTAAGCAAAGGCGCAGAGCTAAAATCCTTCTCTCCCTGCCTCTCTGTGCCTGCAGAGCCTCAAAACACGGAGAGGTGAGGAGATAAGGCACAGAGAGGCAGGGGACAAGTATTTTAGCATGCAAAGTTTGGTCCAGTGGTTAAGGCACTGGGCTAAAAAGCAGGAGACTGTAAATTCTGGTCCCATCTTAGCCATGAAAGCCAGCTGAGTGGCCTTGGGTCAGTCATGCTCTCTTAGCCCAATTCACCTTCCAGGATTGTTTTTGTGGGGGAAATATGAGGAGGAACATATGTTGGATATGTTTGTTACCTTACTTGTAAAAATAATAAAGGCAGTGTACAGATAAATACAGGCTCACTGGAGAAGAGCCTAATGCTCGGAACGACTGAGAGCAAAAGAAGGGGATGGCAGAGAATGAGGTAGCTGGATGGAGTCACTGAAGCAGTTGGTGTGAGCTTAAATGGACAGGAAGTCCTGGAGGAATGTCGTCCATGGGTCGGATATAACTTCATGACTAACAACAACAACAACAGATAAATAAATAAACCCTTTTCTCCCTGATTCTCCATGTCTTTTCTCTCTATGAGGGAGTCCTTACAGCAAGTGAAAGCAGCTTGTAATTTTCTTTGCTGATTCTCCCACTAACTTTCTGGGCAAAGCAACATAAATTACAAATGGCAATCACATGACTGTGCAGCATTTTAACTGCCTGGAAGCACTAATAGGTTGTCAAACACTCAGACTGCGATCACATATTCATGGGAGTTTTGCAATGGTCAGGAGTGCTTTACAAGCCATAAATCATCCTTCTCAAAAGGGAAACAAAAGTTTGTTAAGCAACCAGTCACTAAACCAGTTCTATCTGTATTCTGTCCATTAGAATTATCTGTTCACATATTTCTGGTTGCTTTGAGTTGCTAGTGTTTAACTAGTCAAGTTACTGTATGCCCACTTCCTAATAACAGAGCAGTTCAGCTGTGGAAACAGTGAATTAGAGACATGGTGAACTTCCCTTTATTGAATCTGCTATCTTTGGAACACCTTTGGAAAGATAGTACAGTGTTATGAAGACAGCACAGCTTTACAAAGGCTCAGAGAGCCATGTGTATTGTCAGAAACATTCTCCCGAGAAGCTGGGTCAGAAAAGAAAACCGCAAAAGGTGGAAAGTCTGTGCAAGGAATTAGGAGACAAGGCAGCTGGGCAAACAAATACTCAGTAGTGCTTGCTGGTGAATTGGGCTGGCCTGGGGAACAAGTGAATGCTTGTTGATATTTGCTAAGCATGGGGAGCCACGTGGTTCTGGGGAGAGAAGGTAGTTGAGCGAATGATTGTTGGCGCTTGTTGGAGTGGACTGAGGTAGCTGAGGTTTCCCAAACAGTGGCAAATAGCCCCAGAGCTGCTCAAGAGAGGGTGCAGGGCGGCCAAAATGTTATAGATGGGGGCAGATAGGCAAGTGGGGGAATTGGAGACAGTCCCTTACTTTAATGAGACTTGGGGAGGAACCAAATCTGGCTTGAATTGGGATGGTTACTCACTTAATGACCCATGATTCTCAGATGACAACTGCAATGGGGAACGTCGGGATTTGCTGTTGTAAGTCGGTACAGTTCCTTGCTTTAAGACAGCACTGAGTTACGACTGCAATCCCAGTCACAATTGTGGTTGTAAGTCAAAAACAACCTATAAATGGTATAGGGCTAGATAAATTAACTTTATAATTAGTCATACTTGAATTTTCTCACAAAAAAAAGAGAATGATCATCCAGATCAGAAGGATTCACCAAGCTTAACACTTTGATGGTGTATGTGCTCAGTTTTTCAGGATTCCCTCAGTTTTGTGTACATTCTGAAACCCTTTAAAAATACTAATTTTAAAAATGCAGACCAAATTTTAATTTTCATAGAAGAAAAAAATACTTGAGTTAGATTAATAATTACTTAACCCATTAAATATACATTTTTCTCTTCATGCATAATCAATCAATAAATTTTATTACAGCCTAAGTCCTGATTCAATCAAAATATCTAATAATAGAAGTATTTTAATATGTCTGTCTGTCTGTCTGTCTGTCTATCATCTGATAAACAATAAGTATAATAAGATCTAAAAATAATTCAGAGCAAAAATATTAAAATCAAAATACTATTATAAGAAATAACAAACCTAACTACGGCATATTATGCATAGATAGCACAAAACTGGGTGACTTTGGAGGATATTTTTCAGTCTCTTCACTCTAAATTAGTTTTCAAGCAAATCCATTAAGATTACTATGGTAGAAGAAAGTAATTCCTCATATATATGCTTAAACCTAAATACAAATACAGTATATGAACACCAAATTCCCTGAATTATTCTAGCTTTGTGTGGAAATAAAATACATGTACTAGGAAATTTATGTGGCTTATTTGTCAGCAGTGTTTCAGATTGGTTTTGTCAACTTTCACCTCAACCTAGCACATTTTAGAAACAAAATAAAATAAAAATGGTCAATAAAGAGTTATTGCTACAAACACTAAATCCCCCCAAAATAATAACTGAAATCAGAAAGACTTTACTTTTTCCTACTGATTCTAAATGAAAATGGAATTTAAAGTGAGTAAACGTTTGCATTTTCTTTACAAAATCTTTAGAAATACTTCCTTAGCACTGTCAGAGAAAAGCACAAATTATTTATTCACAATGTGCTGTCTAAATAAAGTAACATGCTTTGGACAGAGATTGTCTTTGGGGATGTCAAAGTTTCATATCTAATGCCTGCTTGATATTCTGACACAATAACCAACTCATAATCCCCACTTCCATCCTCAGTTTGGAAAGCAAAATTTATAGATGAAGAGGACTTGACTTTTCACAAAATGTAATACGCATGGGTTTTTTTTTCCCCAAATGAGGTTTTTAAATTTTGCTGTTTCTATTGTACCCAGAGGGAAGAGTCAGGACAATGTTGATAAAGCAGTTTTTATTGATCTCATAGGGCCTTTTATTTATAGCAAATGTATCATCATTTCTGGTACCCATTCAACATTAATTTAAAAACTTTTCAGAGTAATTTCTAGAATCTCTGAAAAAAATCATGTCAGAATTCCAGTTTATATCTCTTTGGGATTAGAGTACAGATCAAAGCTGTCATACTAATTTAACCCCACAAGATTGATCTAAAAATGATCTAAAAAGCACTATTTAAAAAGATCAGTCTTTTTAAACGTTTTTAAGTCTTGTGAAAAGCTGACAAAGTTGTACCTTCCTAAACAGAGAAATTGCCTTTTAATCACAAATATTCTGTCCATCTCCCTGAAATTTGGCAGATATGATATCTCTAGGACACCATCTAAAACCAGTAAATTTAATTTGATTAGGATTTAAAATGTTTTGTTTCCTATAGCAAATAAACTGTAGTTCAAATTGTTGTTCAAATGTACGAAAAAATAAATTAATTAATTAAAATTTTCTTAGCATATAGAACGATTGATGATGCAAATTATGTATATCTCCTTTGGGATCTTATATTGTCCTACTTCCAAACTGCTCTGAAATAATTTGTCATAGAATTATATATGGAACCTATGTAAAATAGGTTCCATGGGGATGAGATAGTAGCTATGATTGCATTGTTTCATGACATATCCTTTTTATTTTTTATTTCCCAAAACTATGAAGAGTTCATGTTTCATTTCTTTAATGCAGATCAGTATTTCTTAGAGCAATGCATTTCTTTAGAACCTATTGTTAATCTTTCCTGATCCAAAAGCCATTTTCCCCATCTGCTTCTGTTCATAGCAGATACTTTGCTGGTTTAATTATTTGTTCACGTAGTTCTAATGTTGCTCTTGTACAAAATTAGGAAAGTTCAGGACTTTTTAATGTGTGAATAGTTCATGAGATCACTTGTCTAAAATAGCAAACTATCTCATTATGCAGGTGTATGAAATGAGATGATAGAACCTCTACTGCTCGTTAGAATGTTAAGCATTAATTCAAGGCATTTTGAAACTAGATTTCCTGCCATGAGCTTTGCCTCCAGAAACACAGCCTTTTCAGTGGAATTGTCAGCCTAGTCAAATTGTCCCTTCTCAAAGTGCTAAAACAGTTGCCTATCAGGTATATAAAAAGATAACATTTCAAGCTTGCTTGTTTTCTTATGGATGTTTCATTACTCAAACATCAGTGCTCGTGTTACCTAGTTTGGGTAGTGAAACTCTTGCAAGAAAACAAGCAAGCAAGCAAGCTCAGAGAGGACCAAGGGCCCTCATGTCAACCCTGAGCTACAAATATTCTCCTTTATTAGGTAACACTTCTTCCAAGACTTCCAAGATGAAATGATTGTACATTCACACATTTGAACAGAAAGCTAGGAACAGCCTTTGAACCAGCTGCACAGGCCTTTCAAAGGATGTAGCTGCTTTAATACTTTAAGGAAGACTACTTCTTTCACACCCATAAACTTTGCAAAGCCCCTCTTTCTAATATTTTGCACAGTTCTACATATGTCAGCAATTTTATAGTTCTATTACTTTTTGTTAATACAGCAGCAATCAAATTTCATTCCATTTAGTTTTTTCACCAATTATCATGTAATATGCATATTCCATCTAAAAATAAAGACAGTAACAGCTTTGTTTATATCTTACTTGATGGAGCAAACTGGGAAACAGATACAGACTCTTTTAAATGAGAATGTGCCTAATATAGGCATTAATAATTATATTATTATCTTAATACCAGTATATATTTTAATGTAGTTCTAATATCTAACGTGTCTATGTGTGACACACATACAATTAATTTGAAAAATCTCATAAACTGTTCTTTAAATCCTAGAAAATATGTATAAAATTAAAAGCCAGCAAAAGCACAGAAGTTTACTAAAGCACTAAATGCATGGACAGGACAAAAATACCTGGTAAGCTCTTCCTTAATCTTCAGGGGTTCATGCGGGTAGAATTTCACTCTAAAGCACATGGTATATGGTGGATGAGCTGAAACATTATATAAAAAAGCATGAGCACAGCTATATAAAACATGACTTCTTGTGAGATGCAAGTTATGAGATGCAGTGCATTAAATTAAGGAGAAAAAAAGCAAATGATAAATAACAAAGCTCAAAGTATGGCACAAAATTCAAAGCAGAAGGAAGCTAAAACTTGTTAACGCAGAGATTTATATCACATTGTAACTTTTATTTGACGGGTTTATACAAAAATGCTCCTAATTATTCTGTCTGTCCGGATTGAATACAAAAAACAGAGTTGGAAAATGTAATTATCAAACCAGAACCCTGTATCCTAAACTTAAACAGGAATGCAATAGAGAAAGACACTGACTTTGCCACTAAGGACAATTCAGGTAACCTTCTAAGTAATTTAATATTTATTTATTAAGACTATTAATTTCACATATTTTATCAACTACAGAATATCAACTGATTTACCGTATCTGATGATCAGTATCATTTTGAAAGTAGGAAAATGTACCTTATGAAATATGATTTGTATTATTTATTAACATGGTTACTGCTATTTTATAACAATTTACAGATTATTTATTCAATGGGAAAATATAAAACACTGTACCAATGATAATACAACCAGTATTTTGCAACTTATTGATAATGCAGCACTATGCATGTTTACTGAAAAATAATCTTAATCTTCCATAAAGTTCAATCTTTATAAGTGTTACTAAAATCTTCACCACATTCATTTTTGTACATTACAAGAGCTGCACACTAGAAGTAGTCCTCATTTAGCAACCACAGTTGAGATTGGGAACCTGGTTGTTAAAATAAGCAGTCGATAAGGAAAACCATGACTGTGCTTATGATCTTCTTACTTCGGTTTTACTTTGCTTTATAGACCTGTGAAGGTCATAAATGTGACGATTGGTCATAGAGTTGCCTTTCCATCACTGTTGCAACTGCACAGTTGCTAAACACAGCAGTCATTAAATGAGGACAATCTGTACTGACTTTTTTTCTGTGGGGTTAGTTGAGAAATAGTTAATCGGCTTTGTGACAGATAAACATTATTGCATTATTATTTATCAATATTTAACTGTATTATTACCATGCTACTTTTTTTTTATCATAATGAGTCATAGTACCCAGACCCTATTTACATGCCAAAGCCAGGTCTTCTTTCATGGAGAAAAAATGTTGCCTAATGTATGGTTCTCAACAGGGGGACAAAATTCATATTTATGATGGTTGCGGTATCCCCGGGTCATCTGATCGACCTTCTGACAAGTCAATGGGGAAATCAGATTCACTTAACAACCGTGTTACTAACTTAACAACCGCAGTGATTTTCTTAACAACTGTGGCAAGAAAGGTCATAAAATGGGATAAAGTTCACTTAACAAATGCCCCAAGAACGAGATTTCAATCTCCCTACAACCATAACTGTGGACTTATTAACAAAGCAAGTAAGACTCCTATGCGTAAAATGTCTTACGCAGCTACTAAAGGTTATGCAGTAGAGAAAATTGTTCCAAGTAGATGCATTCATTTTCATCATGTATCATATTGCTTCCTATTCTCCATATATTGCTTTTCCTTCCTTCCTTCCTTCCTTCCTTCCTTCCTTCCTTCCTTCCTATTCTGTTTCCATTGTATCACTAATACAGCTGCAATGGCTCCAAGTTAAAAATAATCTTGAACATTTTTTGAAGGACAGTTAGACAGGAAAAATAAATGAAACTTGCTATTCCAAACTCCAGTTTCTATTCAGGTGGCTATTGTAAAGCTACCAGAAACTCTATGCACATGAGTGAATAGCCTGCAAGAAGACTTCGCATCCCGGATAAGAATATGTTCAATTATTATGTATATACAGTTGTAGATGGAAGCACTAATTTCAGATTTTAAAATGAAAAGTAGCTCAGTCACAGAGCAAGGAGATACTATACTGATGTGTATAATTTTACATCATTAATTTTTAAACATTATTAATGCTGTGTAACAGGGACAACAGTAACTGTGACCACCATGAAACACCAATATATAGAATGACCAAAAGTAATACAATTATAGATATTATTTTTATAAGAGATTTTTTTTTCAAACTGGAAAAAAAAAGATTGAATCAAAGGTAATAGTCTGAACTATTTTTTAAGCTTCCATAAATTGCACTTTTTATTTCTTTTCCATATCCAGCTTGGTAGCAAAGAGACAAAACAATGATATTTTGATGTCATAATAACAGATGAGTCCAGGTATGCAGGCACTCTTTTAAGGAGATTATAGTTTTTTTTAATTACACCATATTTTCCTCAGTATTTTGTGTGGAATAGCAAGAAAAGGCCAGCTCAACTATGTAGATGCTTTGCATCCAAATGTTAGCAGCAGCACAAGCTAGGATTATAAACAAAAAGGATTTAGAACCACTGTAGTAAGCAATCTTTAATATATACTTCTCTATGTTAAATGTCTCTAGCTACTACTACTAATATAATGTGATATTCCTAATCTATATGGATTTGTACTTGTTCTAAATCACGTGTTTAGCTCACCGCGTCACATTGCTGTCATGTGACATTTCATGAAGTTTTTCCCATTCACAGAGCTGGGGTGGGCATGGCTCGCATGTCACGCATCCAGCCCGCAGGCTGCCAGTTTGACACCCTTGCTCTAAACAATCCTTTAAATCTGCAAAAAAAATTTACCTTATTTTGTTTCTACCTCCATCTCTTCCCAAGGTCTCTGAATTATTAGATGAATGTGTTTCAAGGTTTATTTGCTGAAATTACTTGTGATAGGGCTGCTGCTCGAAGCCTAAATTGCTCTGTTGTTTGTCTGAACTGTCAATGTTGTCAGAGTATAACTTCCTCCTTTCCTCAACCATCAGTTCTGCTCTTTGTATCTTCTCCCAGCAGAGTGTTCTGACTGGAAAGATCCCACATCCTCAGATCTATTACAGCCATTAGCTGCCATCAGCTTATTTCTCTGAAATAAGTTCTGAACTCTCAATTTAAAGCAACCCTATCTGGTTTCTTCAAAGTCACAGTCAGTGAAAGCCTACTGGAGTATTTCAGTCAGGCTTCTGGTCTAGTCATAGTATTTTAACCTAATCGAAAATACTAAAACTATCAAACATAAGTAAGATAAACATATGCTTTTTCACATCCTTTATATTATATGGATAAGGAAATTAAAGACTAACCTTAACTGCTACTTTATTCACAGAAATTATCAGCCTGCTAATTAATAAACCTTTTCACCTTTCCCCCTTTAGAAAGATTCAAGGACAGAATCTAACTTTAAAAAGAATTCCAACTACTGTACAAAAAGAGAGCTTAACAGACGAGAGAGGAGTCAAGTTATAAAAATAAACTCAGCTTCTTATTCTTCCCAGTCTTCCCAAAAATTGGAATAGGAACCTATCAAAGAAATACAATAAATTACATCTTGGTGGTGTCAGCTACCACATATTATACTCTTTCAAAGTAAGTGCTACAGATCATAAAAAGAGAAACATTAGCAACTCTTGAAAAAAAAAATGCACTGGGTCAGTTAAATATGTGCAGTATATATCATGCAACAGACCCATTGAATAGCAGTCTGTCAACAAGCAACAAATATAAATGTGAACAGTCAAAAAGGAGAATATGTATTTTTTGCAAAACTAATCCCAACCAAAATATAAGGTTCATAATAATCAAATTATATATATTATAGTAGCAGAATGGCCTTTCATTTGTCAAAGAAAGCCCAGATGTCAGATTGAAAGCCCCAATGCTCTGCCAATCTCTCCTGTAATTTGAGCCAGAATAATTTGCCAGAATAGATTCAAGATCTTAACTATTTTTTAAAAAAGTTATAGAACTCTATTCAATACAGCTACAGCTACAGCTATGCTAATAGCTTATTAATTTACAAACAATATTTAAGTACAAAGGAAAGGGAAAGAAATCTTCCTCAAACTAATGTGAATGTATAACACAAGCAATTACACCATGCAGCTGAGACCAGGTTCAATAAAGATACTACTGAATATGAAGAGAACCCTCAGATATAATAAGAAATAATTTCAGCTAACTTATATATATATATTAAACACCACGCAACACTAAACAAGAAAGGAAGACGTTGGGGGGGGGGGGGGAGACTTTCTAGAATGTACTTATGAATTAATTTCACATTTTTGTACCCTGTCCCAATAGGGATAGATGCAATTGCCTAAAAATATTGAATAAAAACAAAATGAAATGTGTAGAATTAATAGAAAACCACTAGATGGATACCCAAAGAGAATGATGGAATAGTGTAGTTTTAATAGTTGTATAAAATGTCAGGAGAGCAGTTGCTTATCCAACTAGAGGGAAGGAGTTCTAAACAACAGACCCATCATAGTGAAAACGTATATTGGTTTGTATTCCATTTACCTCACACTAAGTGGGGATTCTGAGGAGGTCTTTTTTGTGATATTTTTATTGATAGTCAGATTCAGTCTTGGCAAGGCAATGCCTGATGTAATCCAGCGCCACACTGTGAATAGTTTTGCACGTCTTCACCAGCATTTTGAATTGGACTAAAAATCTACTAATATCCCTTGCAATGTTATCTCAGTAACAGCTTTATTCTAATATGACAGGATTGTTCCATCAACAATACAGCTTCTAGATTTTGGGCCAAATCTCAATTTACATACAATGGTGTAATCCAACCAAGTAATGATGGAAACATCAGATACTTCTATGTGGTTCTCCTACACCAGTAGTACACTATTTAAAATTGAACAAAGATTATCTTGGCTTCTCTACAAACAGCATAAGCAGCAGCTGTGAATTAAGGATTTCAGATCATAAACCAACTCCTTCAGAAAGATTACTGCCTCTTCTTAATTGAGCTAAAGTTCCTAAAAAGCAATTTTGTCTTGGAAGCATTTGGTCTATTTTGTATCCTCCAGACAGACTCCACATATTTGGTTCAAGCTTTCCACAGTATATCCTTCACCCAACCTATAGTGGCAATGTACATCTGAGTATCATCCATATACTGATGACACTTCACCCCAAATGCCAGATACAATGATATATGAAAAGACCTTGAGAGAAAGGGCAATTTCATTGTGTCAATCCTTGCCTGAAAGGATCTAGATGACAGAAGGTTTTCAAACAAAAATGCAGGGATTGGTGCCTGTGAATACAATATGTCTTAGGAATAAGTCACAGATTCAGCATAGTTAGAAAGTTTTAATTTTTTTAAACTAAATAAGCAGTAATGTTTGTTTAATTTTAACCATTTATATTGTAGAAAAATCAAATCCTGCAAGGAGAGATTAAGGCAACTGGGTATGTTTAGTCTTGAAAAAAGATAGTGGAACAGGGATATTATGCCATTCTCCAAGAATATAAAGGTGAACACAAGAAGAAGAATGATGCAAATTGCTTTCTATTGTCCCATAGTATAAGGAATAACAATCTTAAATAGAAATTCAGTTAAGTACTAAGAAAACCTCTAAAATTAAGAGAGTATGACAGTGGAATCACTTTCCTTAAAAAATGGTGTGCTCCCTTTCACTGCATGTATTCAAGCAGGCTGGACAAACACTGGATAGGGTTGCTTTTATCTGGGCTTTTGGACTGAGCAGGAAGTTGAACCCTATGATCCACCTGGTCCCTTCCAAATGTATGATTCTCTGACACAATGTTTGACAATGCCAACAAGCTCTCATTCTGTGTGTAGAGGCAGATATGAAGAGGAGCAGATTGCAAGACAAAGCTGACTATAAAAGGACAGTTTTTCAGCTTTTTCCACTGAACCAATGTCACTGTACTTTAATAATTTATTTATTAAACAAATGTATATAGCTGCCCAATTCACACACAGTGAATACATACATGTGACATACATCATTAAAATCCAGCTAAAACTCCACAATTTAAACTCCATCCCACTCAATGAGACAAGCCACTTGATCCATTCACAAGCTGGCTGACAAAACCATGTCTTCAAAGGCTTTGTAGAAAGTGGGTAATCTTATCTCTGGGGGAATGATGTTCCATAGGAAGTTACCACAGAAAGGTCTACGACACTCACCGCAGCCAACTCTCCATGGCCAACTCACTGCAGCTAACTTGCCATGGGACAACTCACCACAGCGCAACTCACCATGGAGAAAGAGTTACACTAATATCGAAGAAATAGTAGAACAGAATCATGAAAGAAAAGATTTCAAAGGAGGGGCAAAATGAAACACAAATGACAAAAATTAAAAAAAAAATTAAATTGAATTGTTGAATTGTCTTGCTGTAAGTTGTCCTGTGGTGAGTTGGTCAAAGTGAATTGTTCTGCAGTGATCTGGTCGTGGCAAGTTGGCTACAGCAAATTGGCCATGGTGAGTTGACTGTGGCAAGCTGGCTGTGGCAAGTTGTTCCATTCCGCCACAGAGAAGGCTCTTTTCCTAGGCCCCACCAGATGTACTTCCTTGATAATTGGGACTCACAACATGCCCTACCTTCCTGCTCTGATGGGTTGGATAGATGCAATTGAAGAGAGACAGTCTATCAAACAGCTTGGCTCCAAGCCATGCAGGGCTTATCTAAGTACATAATTTTATACACATATACACACACAAATATATATCATGCATAATTACACAATACATAATTGCTTCCCTACATTTATTTCTCCTGGATATCATGCATATTTGATTGTATAATTAATGTGATTCTATCATTTTCTTTGTTAAAATAAAATATATTTATGTACTCAGCTCTTATTTTAGAATGCTCTATTCAAATACATTTAGAAAGAGAGGTGTGTGTGACAGAGAGAAGGGTGGGGATTCACTGGACTCTTATCTGGACCCTGAGCAGAAATACAATATGAAACGAAGGAAAAAATTAATTTTAGCATCCATATACCATGCATTGGGAATTGAAGATGCAAGCAGAAGAGCCTGCATCTGCTTGAATTTTCTGAATGTTGCTCAGCCTGGGTATTTTTAATCTGGTTTTATTGCACTACCATTTGAACTAGCACATTAAAAGATGACATTATCTCTGAAGGTGTGGGAATAAAAATGAAAATGATTGGTTCTTAAAGGCATTATGGATATTTATGGTTGCTTCTTGAAGGCATTATGGATATTTAAACTTAAACAAACAAAATAAAAAATAAGTATGACACCTATACTTTAAAAGGGTAAGAAATTAAAATATTATCAAAATATTTGAAATATCATTATATAAAATAGTCAATCAATATAAAAATCATAAGCAACAATAAAACAGTAAAACTTACAAGTCACTACAAAGTGATTGCCTTCCTAAAAACTGAAGTCTTATATTCCAATGGAAGGCCATCAGGTAAAGATAATGTAGGTTAGGGAATAAGGAACTCCCAAGCATATTCAGTACTTCTTGTAATGTATAATTGATGTGTTAATGCATTTCATCTCCCTTAGAAACCTTACTTTAAATGATATTATTTATTCTAAAGATTAAAAAATTACTTGCAACAGCTAAAGCTGCAGCACATTGCTATACATATTTAAACAGAGATGTTCCATTGATTCAATGGCCATTAGTGGAATATGTGAGTATACAATTTGAGTCCTAATTATATCCATTTATGCGTATTGATCCTTCCTTTGTAACACAATACTAGACATTAAAGCACTAATGCCTTTGTTAGAAATTGCAATTCTACTGAGAGTATGTGGATAAAACGTCTCTTTTTGTCATAGAGTAACTAAAGCATATGTCAATATAACAAGCAATAGGCCTCACTGTCTAAAGTCAAGGGTTTACGGACTGCAAGCAGCTTTCTTGGAAGATTTACAATGCAATCCCTAGCAAATCATAGTAGTTGTGCTGGCAGATCAGACAGGCATTCCACAAGTAAAAGAAGTAACCATGGCATGACAGTTTAAATTAAATTACACTTTATCCCTTAAAACAGAGGATGCTTTAACTGAGTTTTTTTGAGCTGGGAGGGTGAAAATGTAGGACTCCTATTTCTCACTCTTTCTAACACAAATCCGTTTCTCCTCAAGGCAGTGATAGTTCAAATCCCCATTTGTTTCCTGAGCAGAATCCATAAAAGAGGAAAATTGAGAGCCTATGATTTCTATCTAGAGGATCGGTTTGGGCACAGGGATGATGTTTTTGAAACCAAGAGCCCATTAATCATCCCAGTCATCCAAACAGCTTATGAATAGCCTTATGTCAGTCACTGTTCTTGCATACACTGCAAGTTACATACAATATAATGTAGATTAAGATACTTCATACTCTAACTTAATAGAATATTTGATTTTGATTCAGTTATTGAGAGGTAAGTCTCTGGAAAAGCTAAGCTGTTTTTATTTTTTAAATAAAAAGCTGTTTTAAATAAAAAGCTAAGCTGTTTTTATTTTTTTAAATAAGCAATGAGGGGACTAAAACAGTTTTCTCGTGCAGTGTGGAACTTGGAATTATGAAGCTTCCAGCTGGAGAGCTTTGTAGAGGAATGTGTTTGGAGCTACATCACAGAAAGGTAACATCACTAAAAAGCTGGACAAAATCCTCCAATGAAACCAAAAGGGACAAAACCATAGAGAATACTAACTTTAAAATGAAATGAAGAATATATATTTTATATCCATCCCATCCCTACTGAGCTGCTTCCCAAATTCCTTTCTCAGGTTGCTAGCCTTCCTCAATCAGCTTTTTCTTTGTGTGTTAGCCTTCAAATCCCATCATCCATTAAATCCTGTTGGATAAAAGTATATGAAAGCACATTTGATTGAGGAAGGCTGTCCTAGATTGTTTTTTTTAAAGAGCTCAATGCCTATAAACAGAATATATTAAAGTTATTTATTAAAGCTATTTTTAAATAAGGCATAATACATAAAATTATTGCAAAACACTGGCATTTTAAAATAATAGGTCAATGTATGAAATGGGCTTCTAACACTTACATTTCATTTGCTTGAAGATAGATTTATTGGGCTCAAGCCAATGCTGTAAAAAAAATATGTAGAAGCCACCAGTCAAAAGTATTGCAAAATACATCATTTTCTTACAAGCACAAGATTGTAGTAAACTGATAGCAGTGTTCTCCTAGCTGTGATTTCTATTGTGTTTCTGTTAACAGCTTCAAAAAGAGGCACATAGATGTCTGAGGATAGACAGAAAGTAGCATCTGTAAGTGAAAAGCACAGCTAATGTGATCACAAATACGCAGAGGTGAGCTGCACTTTTGTTGGCAAGGAGTTCGCTTTGGGGCTGAAACGCAGCTTCAAACAGGCAGCTAATCCACTCAGGCAGCTCTGGTGAGTATAGCAGGGCGGCACGGAACTCACCTGGACAATGTGGGGGGGGTAGTTATTTAGGGAAAGCATAGCACAAAGGCAGGTGGGCAGGCCCAGCCAGAGATCACAGCTAGAGGTTTGCCGGAACCTTGCCAACCACCCAGCAGCCCACCACTGCAAATATGTAATAGGTATGTTTAAGTTTATTCAAACTTGAACAGGGAGGTAAAGAATGACAAATTTTACATTCAGTCTTACGCAGTTTCCATGAAGAGGTACAAACATACCTAGCAGTTTCCTAATTTAATAAAAAGATCCTTACTTTATCTTGCTACATTTTTATTTAGTTTTTTTTTTCCTCCAAGGCAGTCTGGAAGTCTTATAAGATCCCATTCTTTTGTATACAATTTATCCACAAAACAACACTGCAAGATGAAATTAAACAATACCTTTACATATTAAAACAGTGCATTCTTCAAAAACTAAATAATTGTCTGGAGATTGTATGACCGTAGCATCTCTTTGTTATTCATTAAGCCAGCCTCGTCTCCTTTAAAAAGAGGTTACCATTTTAATGAACTGAAACTTTTCTCAAGCTTGTATGGAAATTTAAACAAAACGTTGTATAAGCATGTTTTAATGATGAACAGAGAGCTCTAATGGTCACAATATCTAAGTATTTCTCTCCGATTATTTTTTAAGTGGGTACAGTCCTATTCCATGTATTAGGGTATATCTCTAGAAAGCTTGTTCAGTTTGAATTGAATCCAATTTTGAGTTTGATAGCAGAGAGAGCTTGTGGAGAAAAAAGACTGTTGATTTGATATATGCTTAGCAACCACGTAAGTTTATTTTCTCCTACTGCAAGTCAATAAAAAATAAGATGCATAGATAAGCAAATTAAATTGCTACAAGCCATTAAAGTCAATAAATTTAAGTACGGAATTAAACTCTGACAAGTATTAATATACATACATTTACATTGGTTCATATTGTATAGACATTCACCTGACCATTTCATAAATGTCACATTCCTGTAAAGTTCATTTATGTAAACCAGTATTTTGTATCATTCTGGAATTAACTAAATTGGTCAGTGTTTATATTACTTAATTGTTTTAAAGTGACAAACTGATGACTTTTAGAGAACTTTTTTTATTATGAGGGCAAAGGGTTATTAGTATACACCTTTACTAGGACACAGTTGCACCTGCTGGATTTTTTCTTATTGCTTGCTTTTTTGGGAAGTGTATTGTGCCACACTTTCTAAACATCATCTCTAATCAGCATTTTAATATCCAGCAGTAGCTACTAGCTATTTACCATGGCAGGTGTCCTTGCAATTATTCACACTGCTGAGCAGACTTATTTGTTATGTATGCGTCCACAGTACAAAGCCTCAACACGAGAAAGGTTATTTCACTGGAACTTACAAGGGTGCTTAAAAAAAAAAAGATTTAAAAATATTAAACGCCAATTTTCCTATATGTGCCTATTATTCCTACATCTATGAAAGCATTAATCATGAGTAGAAGAAACAAAATATTATTTTAATTATATTTTTTATATCTGTGAAACACTTACAGAGGGGTGTTAAGTGTTCTGATTTAAAGTAGTCCAATATTAGTTTCTGCTAAGGAGATGATGCCAATATGATTAATTTCTACCGTAAGGCGTATGTATGGTCAAAGCATTTCTAGAGCTAGGTTTAAGATCTATCAACAAATGAGATGGTTGTCCCTGATGGTAGGACAGTGAAATTAATGTTGACTCCAATCTATCCTTTTGCTATCTCGTCAGCAGGACTGAAAAAAAGAAACCTTCTGCAGTTTTTCAGTCTGTCTGAGAATTTGGAATTATTTGGAAAAAAATGTGTCTTATCTGCAAATTCAACAACTTAACTAATTATATATTTCTCTAGAGAAGTATTTCTCAACTTCAGCAAATTTAAGAAGTGTGCTCTTCAAATTCCAGAAATTCCACAGCAAGCAGGCTGGCTGCAGAATTCTGGAAGTCGAAATCCACATCTTAAAGTAGCCAAAGTTGAGAAACACTGTTCACTTTTGAGTGTCACATAGGTTGCATACAGTTAATTAAAGTTATATGTCTATTGTTATTATTTCTATGCAGGCACAGACTTATTAATTATTTTATATTTGAAATAGTATCATAGTGTTAACTGTTTAAAAGTGTGTCAGTAGAGTTGTCATAACGTCTCCCTCTGTGGGTAGTTAAGAAGTTTGATATATAAACAAATAAAATAAATAAATGAACATAAATATTAGGGAAGGAAAGGTGTTCTCAGGGCCCAAAGCCTGCATTAAAACTCTGCTCTTTAGAGTTTGTGTGCAACTTCATAACACACTTACAAAATGGGCAGAATTTTGGATTGTAATAGTACAATACTGCTTTCATCATTTATACCCCTTGCACTTGCCTCTAAAGAAAAGAACAACATTGATGAATGAGCATGATTAGTGGCTATGGAATGTTATTGATTAACTGGATTAGAGGAGACAGAAGAGAAATGGAGGGAAATTGTGAAAGAAAATACATGACTGGTTGGGAAATCAATGGTTCTTTGGAAACACTATTAACTTTAACTTACTTTCTCAGTTAATGCAAAATAGAAATCAATGAATCAATGATGATAAAAATTAAGGCACTTATTGTAGGATTCAATTGTAAGGAATATTGCTGTTATGAAAATTTTAATAGAAAAAGAAATCCTAAAGTGTAAATACTAAATCTCATTAATTTTGAACAATTTTCCACTGGGAGATTTTGATCTCACATAAAAATAAACCAATTTTAATTACACCAGCTTATTTCGCACTTTGACTATAATTTCAAAATAAACTAGATTTTAATTCCATTTAGTTTGTATTGGTCTGTAGGCTAATGTCATGGTCCATTTGTCTAACTATTCTGAAATCAATGTTAATATCTATAGATTTCAGCCACTGGCATCAAATTTCAAGGAATTCCCATGGTTCTGTATCTGTTCTGTATATCTTTTCTATTTCTATCAGAAAAATGAATAACAAGATATCAGTATGAGTTTCCAGTTATCTTAGACTAGGGGGGTCGAGCATGCCCCACGCGCCCCCCCCCCCCCCCCGTTTGGTGAAGGGGGAAAAAATCCCGATACATCACGTGACACCACTGTGACACCGTGAGTTTGACACCCCTGCCTTAGACAATAATAGCACATCCATGAAGCAGCTTTGTTCACTCCTGATGGATTTTTGGGTTCATAACTCAAGTTATCTTGAGGTAAAATGGGTGGTCTATACATTTGATATGAAAATAAATAACTGGAAGCTGAATCTGTGGCTAGAAAAAAAAGGAAACTAATGATCTGCTAATCACTGTCACCTTCATGTGGAATATGTCATCCACACATAAATCACATATATGCAAAACTGACAGGAGGCAAAAATTAGAACAGCCTTTAAGAATGCAGTAACAAAGCCATAGTGTTTACAGTTTCATCTTCAATCTTACCCCCAAAGGCATGTGTCACAACAGCTGAAATAAAATGCTATGTGAAAGAAGTTGGGAGGAAAGCCTACAGTCTATATTCAACTTGTCCTTACAAGCAAGACTAGCTCTTAATTAGTGTAAATTAAGCCAATATTAAGACTTGTCAACATATTCTGCTAGCTTTAAAATCATAAGTATTGGGCTTTTACTTTTCTATCCTTCTCTACTGTAGAATTATTAAATTAGCTAAATAAAACTTTCTGCTACATTTTTAAATATTGATCCTATTCTGTAATATATATGCCCACTTCCAAATAACAGCAAAAGTGGAAATGCATCTCTCTGCATCAGCAAGAAGCCTGGATCTATTTTTATTTTCTGAACGACAATATAGATATCAGCAAAGTATGAGATTAGTTTTAGGAACACCAACAGCACTTCTCCAGAATATCTGACAATCTTATTTTAAACCTACGCATGGATTAGAATGCATTTTATAATGGAGGATCTGCAAGAGATCCTGAGAGAGATCAAATTCTAACAAAGAACAATTTCAAAGGATAAATATTGGTACTGTTACAAAAACACTGAGCTATTGCTACCCAGCTGGCTGTGTGCGTTATTTCTTCCATCAAAAGTCCTGTCATTTTGTGCAATTCAGCAATGGATTAACACACTCATAAATCTGATGAATCCTTCAATATAAGCAATAAATCTCAGTTGAGCTGTAGGGTTCTATAAATGCACATTCTGTAATCAAACAACCTCTACTGTATCTGAAAGTCAAGTGGCACAATTCATAATACTGGGATGGTATAAACTAACAATATTCTGATTTAACTATTTTTATTACGTTCATATTTTATTCAAAATATAAAAATTGATTTCATTTCCTACCCACCTGAAAAGCATCATATTCTTTTTGTACTAATTACATAAAAGCAATAATTTTAGTGATTTTGCTCTATGAAGCACAAGACTAAATGGTTGTATATTATGTAAACCTATAGAAGGGCAAAGCATTTGAAGAGTGTGTTAGCATAAGGAAAGAAAGCACTCACACTCTTCATTAAAGTCTCCTGTGGCTGCTTCAATAGTTACTTCTAGTTGTCTTCATGTATGCATACAGACAACACTTACTTTTCCAGCAAAACACTGAAGCTATATATATATACAATGCAGACAGCTAAACTATATTTTTTAGAAGGAATGGTGCATTTGTAAAATACGTATTTTGTGAGGCACCTCTTGCAAATACTTTTAGTAGATAAATGAGATTTATTGGTGCATCTGCCAGATATATTGCTTCACTGAAGCTTTGTTTCTTGATGAGGAGAATATTTAAATAAGGCTACTGTACAAAATCTAAGTTGAAAAAAATCTAGAAATCCATTAGATAGCATCAGCAATGCCAACTGTCTGTCATCTTTTGATTACGTGAATTTCTGCAACACAGATCTGGTAGCTCCCAAAGGTGCTTTTTCAAAAGTGGACTTTCTTTATTTTTTTTCCTTGAAGATGTTTTGCTTCTCATCCAAGTTCTGACTGAATGGTGGCAAATATAAAGATTTATATTCTTTGCAAATGACTGCAAAAAATACAGTATAAATCTTTCCATTCTCCACCATTCAATCAGAACTAAATAAGCTTTTTGGATGGGAAGCAAAACATTATCAAGGAAAAAGCAAAAGTCTATATGCCTTTTGAAAAACATATTTGGGACAATCATGACCTAGATGATTGAGAATCTCCATAAGATCTGATAGCTCTAAATTTAAAAGTCTAGGAGGCCATTTGAAGATTTTTATTTATTGCAAGCTGAAAATTTTCAACAGCTGGTTTCAGAAGTATGTTCTTGCATCTTTATTTTATTTTCAATAAAAAAAAATGTTACACTGCATTGCCTAACTCACTGTTTTCATATTTTATTGTTTGCCTATATGAGAAAAGATTAGCTGGGTAGATTTGATTTCAAGTGAATTAAATCCAATCATATTAGCCAGATTGAAACATTCTGCTTACAGTACTATAGGAGAAAGCAAGTCGATTTTTGATTACATTATCTCAGTTAAGCAGGTCAAAGTCATGCCTGTGAAGGTAGAATAAAGATATAGATTATCACTCAGTCAAGTTAAGATATGCCACTGGGAAAGCCATGAAAAATACCAGTAATCAGAACCCAGAACATTCCAAGCTAAAGAATGTCTTCTTAAAACCATGAGACACCTGACGCCCTAATTAAGCTAAAAAGGATTTATCTGAGATTGGCACTATAGTAATCCTTAGAACTAGGTTCGTAAGAAGCCCCATTCCAAATACTATATTGAAGTAGCAATTATCGAGGAAGTGACACAATAATAAGCACACAGTTACCTTCACGTTATATTCTTGATTAGCTGCTGATTCTCTGGCAATAAAATGTATTTTGGCTCAGAGAAATGAGCACATACTCATCTCTTTGGACATCACTGAAGCATTTGTGCCAGGGGAATGAAAGCATACTAGCTAGCAGTTTCACTGAGATAACATCACTTAAAATAAATTATGAGATAATTTATATACATACCCGCTGTTTTTCAGAATCCACATAGCGAATGCCAAAATAGTCTTTTTCTAGCAAACAATAGTGATTGCAAACATGATCTATGAGAAACTGGCCTTTGGTCTCTCTCTGAAAAAGAAAAGGCAATACAAATAGGTAGAACCTGTAGGTGTATGCATATATAATTAACCTGTGTATTTTATATATATTTCAATCAGAATTATACGTTGTATCTTGTCTTAATTGTACATTGAGAAAACAGATTAAACATTACTAACTTTGACTGATTTCAGTGAATCCACCTAAGATTAATCCAGGTTTTAATTCCATCCTTCTCTTTCAATCAAATACAAAAACTTATTTATTAGAGATTCTGTATGTATCTCAGATTAGCAAAATATCTTACTGCACGCCACACGGTTTACACTTTCTTAAACTTGTCCTATTGAATGAGGCTTTACAAATTTGTCCATATCTTCAAGGATTTATACAATTTTACTGGATAATGAACCTTTCAATTTCCAGAATATTTGAGTTAACAGAATACATTCAAAAACAATTTGAAACTGTTTAAAAGAAATTAACGATTGCTTTTTTACTGAAGAAAATTGTATACTTTGGTAGTAATTATATATGTCTATGTATGTTGTCTATATACATAAAAACTTAAAATATAAGTTATTTTAAGCCATTGTCTATCCACTGCAGGATGAAGGCCTCTTCCGCATGTTTCCAACCAATATGGGTATATTGGCATGTGGAAGTAATAGACCTATGATGGCAAACCTATTGCATGTGTGCCACAGGTGGCACACACAGCCATTTGTGCCGGCACATAAACCGCAGGCAAACTTACCTCACTGCACATGCGTGCGACTCAAACCTGATTTTCAGCCTGTTTGAGGCTTTTTTCAGCCTCCCAGAGGCTTGAGGAAAGCCTCTGCAGACCGAAAAATAGGCCCATTTCATCACTTCCTGTATTTCCGGAAATACCGGAAATGGGCCGAAAATCACCTGGGAGGTGCAGTGTAGGTAAGGGGGCGGCAGGGGGAATTGCTCGTGCATGCGCAGGGGGTGTCTGGGAAGGCACGCATTGCCTTCTGGGTGCTGGCACGCACAATTTTTGGCATAGGAGCCCAAAAATGTTAGCCACCACGGGAATAGACCATAATTTGCCATGCTAGTCTGGGGTATTATAACCTGTTCACCTTGGGAGACCCTTCTAGACATGTACATGTCTGACTACATAGCCCACAATTTCATTTATTCACACCAGCCCCTTCACTTTGTCAAGGTGAAATTATAGAAGGAGTGCACATATGCTATATGTACATATATGCACATATTTAAAGAAAGGATGCTTCATCTGGAATAAAATACTATTTATCTATCTGATACACAATAACAAGAATTGAAAATATATCTGGCATGCAGCTTCTTATGTTCAAGTATGTTTGCCGAACAGTTTCAGATTTTCAGGTTTGCCAGGAAATCAATTTTAATTCCACATTCCTAGAAAAGCTGCCTTTCTTCAGCTGTGAGAGAATCAGAAATAGCAAAAAAATGAGATAGAAATAGAACAGGTCAATGCATGGAGGAATGAACAGGTACAATCTAAGACAAGGCATAGCCAATCTGGTTCTGGACTTATAGGTCTGGATAACTTTCATAAATAGCTGTTTTTTATAATATACATGTTCCCAGTTACATTTGAGAAAGAAAAAAATTGTGCTCTATAACTGAAATTGCCTTATGCTGATGTAAATGGTAAATGTTTTCAAGTTCAGTCTTGAGGCATTCTTGTTAGACGTATAGCATATAGAGTTCACCGAGAATTAGTTTTGAGAAAACAGCTTAGGATTGTTCATGATATAAACTTCAGGGGGAAAAAGGAGCACACAGTACCTGACAAAATAGAGATTCCAAATAATTATTGCAACATGAAGCTGGTTCTTAGGCAGACTATTTCCATATTTTTAAAACCTATGCTTAATCACTAATTGCTGCTCCTTGAAAACTTATTGAGGCATTTCATAAAAAAAGCTGAGGAACCCATACTAAATTAAACACATTTAAGAAGGTAGAGCCCACTTAGAAATCTTTTTCCTATTTCAACTCTATTCTGTTGTTCTATCAGTGTAAGAGTATCACCAATAGAACCAGTCATGATATCAAAATTTCATACCAAATTTCTGTGCAAATTCAAGATACATTTTTGCAAAAAGAAGCGTTTTACAATTGTATTTGTATTGTAATTTTTTAACTTTCCCTGAGCTTTTTCACAGCCCTTATAAAGGTAGTCCTCGAATTATGACCACAATTGAGCCCAAAGTGTCTGTTGCTAAGTGAAACATTAGTTAAATGAGTTTTGCCCCTTTTTACAACTTTTCTTGTCACGTTTGTTAAGTGAATCACTGCAGTTCTCAAGTTAGTAACATGGTTGTTAAGTGAATCTGGATTCCTCATTAACTTTGCTTGTCAGAAGGTCACAAAAGGGATACACATGACTCCAGGACACTGTAACCATCATAAATGCAAACTAGTTGCCAAGCATATGAATTATGATTATGTGACCATGGGGATACTGCAACATTTGTAAATATGAAAAATTGCCATAAGTCACTTTTTTCAGTGCCATTGTAATTGCACTCACTAAATGAAGAATTGTTGTAAGTTGAGGTTCTAAAATTTGCAAAACGTTGCATTTCACTGAAGCATCGTAAAGGCTAGCTATGTAGCAATAACTAGCTAACCTTGGCTGATCTCATAAAACTAAAGAGGACTAGATCTGGTTAGCACTGGGACAGGAGATTAAGAAGGAGTTAGACAGCAAACTAGCTTGAAATGTTGAAAAATTATAAAGTAATAGAAAACCACTTTTCTATTGGTGCCATGAAATCTGCACTTTTCTTATTGGTACCATGAAATCTTTAGAAATAAAGCTTGATCAAGAGCATTTGCTTTTTGTATGAATATCCACCTTGATATTCTTAACTATGCTCCTAAACCAAATAGAATTATCCCAAGAATACTACACAATCCCAGAAAAGGTGAGGCTGCTTTAAGGAGTTGTAGACTGTTAAACCCATGTATTCTGAAATTACCTTTTTTGGGAATCAAACCTAAAACATTGTACTGTCGTAACAAATTTTGCCTGTTTTCCTTTCAGCCCTTTGTCATTTCTTCTCTTTTCTGACAGCCCAGAAGTTTTTGGCTTTTCTGTTTTTTTCCCAAAATAAAATGGATAATTTAGTTAAAATTCAATTCGGTGTCAATATACTGCATGAGTACAGAGATCAAGATATTTGCAATGCAAGACAAAAAGATAAAAAAGAGAATCTAATAAGCTAGCCTAGTCATAAGTTATTATGCATCAAGATTCCTTCATAGTCAAATGCAAGCATTTTGAGAATAGTGGGAGATACTCCCAGATAATTTTTACAGAATTAATCTCCAAACCCAGCAATAGTGTTGTACCATTTTGGAACATGGACTGAAGCCTTACATGATATGTACTGTAGACTCAGTTTGGAGGCTGAAGGAATTTTTTCTCTCTTTTCTACAGCTGATTTGAAACAAGAGCAAAGATTTTTCTGCTTTCCTTCCTTCACAATAATGTACAGTAGCATTTCTCAGTAACACTTTGTTCCCATCTGGTTCCTGGTCCCAAAGCAATCTTCTTTCCTCCCTCAAGAACAGCAGCATCTTATTTGTTTACACTGTATCTCCTTCTTTTCGCCATTACAGCTGCCAGGAAAACATACAATTTTGGTTTTATTTATTTCCTTAATTTGATTTATCTCTGCCCACTGCTCTTAGCAGTTTGCAATTAAAAAAAAAACATTTAAAATCATGATAATAAAAATTGTTAAGATAGCAAGCAAATAATTAAAATTAACTAAATCAACAACTAGAAGCCTATACAAAACAATGCATTTTAAGGATCTTTTAGTAAAGAAAATAGATGTTAGAATCCCTTAACTCTACAGGGTGCATGTTCCAAAGGCCTACTGGAAACAGTGAAGGCTTTTATAGAAATAATATTATCTTAAGAAGCCTTATGCACCATGTGAGGTTTTAAAATATCTTAATATATTCTTTTTCCCAGAAACAGAGTCAGTTTGACATAGTGATCAAGGCACCAGACTAGAATCCAGGAGATTGTGAGTTCTGCTTCCACCTTAAACATGAAGCCAGCTGACTGACCTTGAGCCAACCACTCTCCCTCAGTCCTAGAAAGGAGGCAATGGCAAACCGTTAAAAAAAACCTTGCCAAGAAAAACTACAGGGGCTACAAGTAATCCATGCACCATCCATAATCAAAAATGCACACACACACACACACACACACACAAACACACACACACACACACAGAGGGGGGGGAGGGAGGGAGGGAGGGGGAGAACACTTTGCATTTTACCCAGAAATTCACCCAGATATTATGTGGTCTCATCACATTCTTCACAAGGCCAACTTCACTGCTGAGTCTTGAACCAACTTAAGTATTCACACTGGATATAAGTGTAACCCCATCTAGAGCAAATTGCTATGGTTAAGCCTAGAGGTTTCCAGAATATGCATAATATTAAGATCATTATCTTTCAGAAAGGAATTCAGCTGGCATATCAATCAAAATTATCATTTAAAAAAAAACCTGAATATGATTTACCAGACAGAATGAAGAAACACACACAAAAAAACAATAACTACTTAGATCAATTGATATTAATCTCATCCATAAAACAAAATTATGTATTAGCTACATTTTTGTTCTAAGTTAACAGATAACCTAGTCACATAACAGTTTTTTGATGTAAAGAAATATAGTTCATACTTGATTTTTCAGTCTTGAGCCTGGAAAGTCAAATAATAAAAGTACGGCATTTTTATAACATACAGAACAATATGTATGCTAAATTAAGGACACAATTCAAATTTCAATATATCCAACACATATACTATATACCTAATAAATGAAGCCAAAAAGTAATCTAATAAAGTCCATGATGAACCAATTCAGTCAACGTAATATTTTCATAAAGCAAAGCTGCTTTTGTTTCCGATATAAAATATTTTAAATATACAGAATAATAGTGTCACTTGCAGTCGAAACAATGCTAATGAA